CTTCTGCCTACTGAAGAGAGGACAGAATTAAGGGTTTCAGTCCCTCCGAGTTGGTGGGACTTGCTAACCACCTTGAGCTTTTTATTGAAATGGTACCAATCTCTGATCTAAGGGACTGACTTGGCTTAGAATGAAGGGGAACATCCAAACAGATCCACCAAAACAAAGGATAATATTAAGCCTCCATAAGGTCAAAATGTCAGCCAGTCATCTGTCTTCTGCAACAAAAATCAATATTCTTCATAAGAATAGGACAGAACCCAGAGTCTACAATGTATTGTGCACCCTGTTTAATATGCTAAAAAATTATTGACCATGCAGGAAATATGAAGTAGAAAATAGGAAAATCAGATCCATAGACAAGAGAAAAACCAATCAACAGAAAAAGACAAACTTATCCTGACTTCAAAATTATCACACAAGAACTTTAAAGAAGTTACAAATATGTTCAAGAATTTAAAAGGAGCCCTAGCTGGTATGGCTCAGTGGATTGAGTACTGGCCTGCAAACTAAAGCGTCGCCAGTTCAATTCCCAGTCAGGGTTGCAGGCCAGGTTCCCAGCAGGGTGCATGCAAGAGGCAACCACACACTGATGTTTCTCTCCCTCTCTTTCTCCCTCCCTTCCTCTTTCTAAAAGTAAGTAAATGAAATCTTAAGAAAAAAAGAGATTTTAAAAGGAGAGTTAGCCATATCTATTGAACAGATAAAAAAAATCAATATAAAATTAAACTATAAAAACAGGACCAAAAGATACTCTAGAACTATAGAGTATCCTAAATGAAACACTCATTGGATATTTGGGCTTCCTTCCTGCTATCTTCAATATCTTCCTCTATGAGCCAACCACAGATCCATTTGAATAAAAAGACCAACTAGATGTCTTTTCACCCCTTGTAAAATGCTATCTATGTTCTTCAACTTGCTCTAGGAATACATTTGCCTGTGTGTAGGACACATATGAAGTAGGAGGGAATGACCCAAACAGTTCAGGATGGCAGTCACCTTTGGAAGGAGGGAGGGCAGTATGATAGGGAGGGAGCACGTAGGGAGCTGTAGCTGTGATATTTTACTTCTTAAGCCGGATGCTGGAATATAGGTCTTCACTGTATTATTCTTTATTTTTCTCTGTGTATCTTACCTATTACATAACCTACTTAAAGGAAGAAAACATCATGAAAATGCAAATAGAGCTGTCAAATTCTCACTTTACTCACAGAATGATAATAATAAAGATGGACCAGAAGCAGCTGGGAGTTTGGCAGGAGTGGGGACACAGCAGGGGAAGCACGAGTGGGAACTGAAGAGAAGCTGTCTGTGACGGGAGCCCTGGAGAGCGGGCGTCACAGGGGCTCTGCGATGGGATGGAGAGAGGAAGTTCATAAGGAAGTGGGAGGAAGTCCTGGCATTAACTGTGCCTGACCGGTAAGTTTTATCTTTTGCTGCTTTGCTCCAACAAGCTGGTGCTGGAAACAAAGGGTCAACCTGCTCCATTGTGGGAGCGGTGCTGTGGCATATAACTAGGTGGGGCAACAGAAAACCAGGGACAAGTATGGACCTTTGGCCCCAGTGGGCTGGAAAGAGGCTGTCAGTGTCCATTCCTAGGGAGGCTCCCTAGTAAAGTCAAGTTCAAAGGCTGGTGCTAGGACAGAGCCAGCAGGAGTAACACAGCCAGTTTACTACTCTGAGGCCAGCAAGTGTTCAAAGTGGGGGCTGAATGAGCCCAGGCAGAGAAGCAAGGTGATAAGGACTAGGGCACAGAAAGAAGTCTGAGATCAAGTCCATAACAACAACGTTGGCAACAACAAGCATTTATGTAGCACTTACTATACAAAGAGTTCTAGGCAGCCAGTAAACCCTTTGCCTAGAGCATCTAATTCAGTCCTCAGAACCACCCTATGAGTTAAGCACTGACATTATTTCCATTGAACGTATAATAAATCCGAGGTCCAGGGCCATATAGTAATAGAAGGTGAAGCTGAGACTGACCGTAGGGCATGTATATACTGCTCCTTCCATGTAATGTTGGGGAATAGGAACAACCGGCTAGGAGCTGGTTCCAACCCCCGATCAGAATATTCAGGATTCAAGGCTCCAAAGAATAGATTTGTTTTAAATCCAACACCAATATCTATTTCTGTGTGGACTGAGCCCCTACCTGCCTATTCTATTCTGAAATAACTGCAGGAAGAGCGGATCAAACTCCTCTGGGCTTAAAATAGGTGAAAATTTAGAAACCCTCTTTCAGAAAAATAATACAAACATGTTTCTTTTGAAAAGTGTATAAAATACATGCGACAGTGTAAACACATATCCAGGTTTTCTCCCAGGCCCTTGGAAGGAATCCCTGAAGGTGGGGGGCCTCTAAGACTAAGCTTTCTCAGTGGCAGTTGGCTCTGTGCATGGGGATCATACGATTTGGCGATGTGTGAGATCTTTATTAACGTCTGTCTTCTCACCTAGAAAGAAACCCTGTAAGTGGAGAGACTGTGTGTTTTTTGTTTATTTTATGGTCACAGAGTAGCACCATTTTATGTTTTAAGATTCTAAGCTGAACTTTATTTATTTATTTTTTTGCCTTGTGTTAGAATCATCTTTCTTAGATCAGGAAGTAGCTTTGAGAATCTGGTAGTGAAACAGAAGACATTGTAGGTCTTTCCAGGAGGGAAGTTAATGCAGGGAATTGGTTGGCCAGGTGACAGAAGAGCTGAGAAGCCAGCAGAGGTTGTTGAAGCAACTCCGAGGTTAGAAGCCGCAGAAAGAGACTTCCAGCCTCGGATGGAAGCCAGGATGGTCTGCCAGGAGCCACAGCCCTGGTGAGGACCATGTAGCAGCACTGGGGACCATGAAAGAGGAGCTTTCTACCAGGTTCTCAGACAATGGAGGAGACTCATCCACTGTCCTTGAGGCAGAGGGAGACACGTGCTGGCTTCTCCACCCCTCTACCATTCAGCCTTGCTCCAGCGTTTTCTACCTACACAGAGCCAATTGGCAAGGGAGCTTGGGAAATACAGTTTTCTGCCACACCGAACTGGCCTAGTAAAGATTGGAAATAGAGCCAAATTGTGCCCCCACACCCCCTCCCCAAACTCATATGTTGAAGTCCAAATTGCATGTACCTTAGACTGTATTTGGAAATAAGGTTTTAAAATAGATAATTAAGTTAAAGTTAGATTATTAGGACCCAATGTAACTGCGGTCTTTATAAAAAGAAGAGATCTGGACACAGACAAGGATAGGGAGGAGACAACCAACTATACTCTTCAGAAGAAGCCAAATTTGCTGACACCTAACCTTAGAGTCCTCGTTTCCAGAAACCATGAGAAAATAAGTTTTTGTTGTTCAAGCCACCTAGTCAGCAGTTCTCTGTTACGGCAGCCCTAGCACTGGAAGGCAAGGAGACTATACCTGCAGCATTCTGAGGTATAGAATATTCCATCATCGTCCCTGCAGATTGTCCCCAGCACTCAGTGATTGAACTTGATTGTCCCCAGGTTTCTTCAGCTTTCCGTCTTCAGAGATCAATTGGATTACTCCTGCAGATGGAAATCATACCCATCTCCATTTCATTCTTCTCCTTTTCTTTCTTGAGGTTCCAGGATGGAGCACATGCAGGGAGTTAGTTATCTGATTCCAGAAAGCAACCCCTTACCTGTGGGCCAGGAAACAAAGAGGTGGTCAAATTTGCTTCTGAAACTGTCCAGCTCCTCAAAGGCAAAACAAAAACTCTTTTTGGAGCAGCCTCAAATGCTGCATGGGAATGGTTAAATAATCATTTCCTCCAGACCAGATGGCAATGTGATGCTCTGAAGGCAAACTGCTACCTCTTCATTTTCCCTTTGCTGCACCACAGTTCATGTGGATCAGAACAGCAGGAGCAGGAGGAAGAACATTCTGCATTCTCTTCCGTCTCTTCCTGTGAGGCCAGTGCGAAAACAATATGGCATTCGATGGGGGGTACCAGCACAAGGCTCTGACTCCGGCCGGCAGGAACCTATTTTATCGTAGGAATTTGTACTGCTAGACCCTGCGGGGAAATGTGGTCAATTCCAGAGCCTAAAAATATGATCACTGTGCCCAATTATTTAGAAGGAAAACACTGTGTTTCGCCACAAAGTCCCAGGACTCAGGACCTGGTCATGGGGCTTCTCATCTGTGTGACCTTGAGTAAGTGACTTTCTCTCTGGACACGAGCATCTCATCTGTGGGGGGACAGGCAGTACCTGCCTTACGGACATACAGGGCCGTGGAGGTCATCAAAGTGGGTGCTCTGCCAAGGTGTGTCTCTTCTAAATTAGCACTGTGCATGCCCAAGTTGTGATTAATATTTTTTCATGACCCCAGGCTATAAAAACAAATTTTCAGAGACAGAAGATTGCTTTCTGCTCTTCTTTGCCAAATTCATATAGAAGCAACCCTGCCCTCAAACCCCAACATCCAGGTTACTGGGAAATGTATGGTTAAAAGCTCTGGCTGCAGCTCCTAGTAGGGATATTAGAAGCATTAAGACTACCTAGAATGGTAATTTCCCCCATTTAAAAAATGTCACATCCAAGGTAATTTCCCCACATAATTTCTTTGAATATACTTTTGTTCATGTACAGAGTAATTTTTTGTCAGTTTTATTGAGGTATAATTTGCGTACAATAAGTTTCACCAATTTTAAGTGCACTATTCAATGACATTTGACAAACGTATAGAGTCATAAAACCACCACCACCAGTGTCGGGTAACCTTTGCACAGAACGATTTATAATTTTCTCTCTTCCTTTTTCCCCAATTGGGTGGCAGGCTCTGATTTCCTGAGTTAGAGGAGGTTTGTGGCTGTGCAAACAGCACCTTCACAGTCTCTGCATGTCTTAGACCATCAGAGCATCACCTCAAAGTTCTAAATATTGTCATCTGTGTCAAGTTCAGAAGAGATGAGGCTGAGTACAGTACAGTTACTGGGTTGTTGTTTTTTTTTTTTTGAGCCAGTTTCTGCTTTATTGACCCTCCGATGCTCAGGCCTTGACCGCGTACTTCCGCAGTGGGCACAGCCTCTTCTTCCTCTGCTGCTTCTTGGGCTTCAAGTTCTCTTCATGCTTGTTGAGCCCGCGGCGCACAGCATGTGTTTTCTTGGGCTGCAGATCTAGGGTCTTGTACTTCTTGCCCTTGTAGAATTTCCTGAGGTTCTCTTTCTGAGCCTGGTGAATGAGGGTGAGAACATGGCCAATGGATTTGCGCACAACTCAGACCTTAGAAAGTCTGGAAAGCTGCGCTGCCCGTCACTTCGGCCATGTGCAACTGGAACAGCTCCACCTTCGGGTCGTACAGATGTTTGAGCGGCTCTTCCTTCCTGCCATGAAGGTCTCCAGACTTCCTCCTGGACTCGTCTGCACAAGCCGCTGCCACTGCCTGCTCAGAGAGAAAGTGCTCTTTATTTTTATGATAGAAATATATTAACCAGTTGTGAGGTTACTTTCTTTGTTCCTAAGATGTATCATGTGGATTGACTGTCTTCTAAAGGTTTCTTTTTTATTGTTGTGCTATTACAATTGTCCCAATTTTCCCCTATGGCTCTCCCCTTCCCAAGGTCCATCCCAGCCTGCTGTTCATGTGAGTACACTCACTCTTGATATGAGGAGGATCTGTGAAACTGTAAGATAGTTATCTGCACGCACTCCGCCAGCATCCAGTGGTAGGACCTACATAGAATAAATAACTGCTATGGATACTCTGGTTCTAAAAGTGGGGGAAAGTGAGTCCCAGACCCTAACTGCTCTATAGCAGTTCTGGAATCTCTTCTATGGAAAGAGTTGCCGCTGTGACCATGCTCCCATTTAGAGAGTATCTTTTTTTCTTTTGTAATATTTTATTTATTTTTTTTTTACAGAGAGGGGAAGGGAGGGAGAGAAATATTGATGTTCGGTTGCGTCTTGCTCACCCTCTGCTGGGGACCTGGCCTGCAACCCAGGCATGTGCCCTGACTGGGAATCAAATCAGTGACCCTTTGGTTCACAGGCTGGTGCATAACCCACTGAGCCACACCAGCCAGGGCTAGAGAGCATCTTTATCTTAGCTCAGAAGAGACTGTGTGGCGTATTAGAGTCAGACAGACCACCAGTTTAAATGATGCACTGAGCTCAGCTTTCCTGTCTGTAAGGTGGGAATCATAATGTACTCTTACAGGGTTGCTTGAAGGGTGAAAAGGGAAAGAGAGGTCAGATGCAGAGCTCCTGGCAGATGGCTGGGCACAGAGTAAACACTCAATAAGTAAATATTAGTTCGTTCCCTTCTGCCTTCAGTTAATTAGTGAATGAGTAAAACAATCTGATAAACTAATTTATAAGAAGGTCATTAGAATGTTAGCAATTGATTTTCACAGGCTTTAATATAGCTCCAGCTAATGGCTTATGGATTCCTGTGCAGTCACGCTCCGCCAAAGAGGCATCTATTAAAGCAGAAAAGGCAGCGGGTGCCAGGCAGCCTCTGGGCTGGGTGCTGGACCTTCTGCGGGGCCATGATGAGCATGGGTGCTCTATCACAGCATCCTGGGAGGTGGAGAGAGGAGCCACTTAACTGTTTAAGAGGGAATATAAACCAGGGAGTTGGTTGCACTGGTGGTAGCAGAGATGACAAGGCCGTCTGGGGTACGAGTCAATCTAGGGATTGGCCATAGTGGAGGGTTACCTCTGCCCCTGGACTGGAGGGAACTGGAGGTGGGTCTCTTAGTGGGAGCTAGAACCAAGGTGGGCCTGTCTGGTGGGAGTAAAGGTCATGACAGAGAAGCCACAGCTGTGATGCCACCATGTCAGAGAGGAAGGGACAGAATGCCATAGCTTCTTTCTGTCCTCCAGGGTCCCATGGGGCCTTCCATTGGGCAGCCCAGCCAGAATTCAAACATGTTGGACCAATGGAAAAGTGAGGAATAGATTTGAAAACCAAAAGGCCCAGCACTGGCATAATACATCATTACCATAAACATGTGAAGAAGGCATTTTTATTCCCTCATTTACAGATATGGATATTGAGACCAAGGGGAATTAAGTTAATGGTTCAGATATTCACCACTGGTGAAGTGACTGAGGCAGGAGTAGAACCCAGACTGGCCTGCCTCCAAAATCCACATCCGTTCACCGTGCATGCAGTGAGTCCTGTGGACTCAGCGCTACAGCGTGTGTTCCATCCCTGTGGCCTACACTGGAGCATGGGGTTCCTGTCTGGGACCTGCTCATTGCATTCGATTATACAGGGGAGTCTCAGGTCATGCTTGCCTGGTATTTGGGTGACTAGGTGGGAGAACTGTTTGGAGCCATGATACCTAACATTTTTCTAGCCACACCACACTGGGAACCAAACCGGGGACATCAGAATCACTTGTGGGAGCTTTTTTAAAAAAAAAATCTCTGTGTCTGAGGATTCTGAATCAGACAGCCTAAGAGGATCCCATGAATTTAAGAAACGTATTTTTAAGACTTTCTAGATGACTCTGAAGTCTGGCCTTGACTGGTGTCTTCTTGTCTCACTGTCTGCTCTGATGGCCTGGATGGGTGGTCAGGAGTTGCTTTGCTCAAATTAAATTAGTCATTAAAAATTATGCTAATTTGCTTCCAGGCTGCCTCATTGGCATCTGGAGTGAATACAAAGGGAAAGGCCAGGGAAAATGTCTGGTCCCGGTACCCTACAAATAGTCTCACCAGCATAGACTAGACCTCTTTGGCATTTGCTGTTAAATTGAGTTAGATGTGCAGACACACCAGTCGGGGCTAGGCTGTCTCTGGAACTGGGATCTCTCTGCCTTGTATACTTTTGCTGTTTCTACTTGGTATGTCAAAATCTTATATTTGCTTTTAAGAGTTTGGGAAGGTTTCACCAAGAGGGGCTACTCGGTACACAAAGCTGTCTCACTCCATCGCCAGGTACTCAGACGTCCTGGGCTAGCCTGAAACTAACTCAGGGCCAAGAATTTAGGGACACAGCCTTGAAGATACAGTTTGTGATTCACTCTAAATAGGAGTCTTACCTAGAGATTATTTTAGAAGATAAATGGATTCCAGGTAGAAATTCTACTAATTAATTTTGATAGCACTTTAGAATAAGTGTAGAGCTTTAAAATATTTATGTAAATAAATGTCTCACCCATGAGCATTCTGATTAGCTCAGTCTGTGGGATGGGTTTGCATATATATATATATATATATATATATATATATATATATGCAACATATATATATATATATCTCACACACACACACACACACACACACACACACAATTCTCCAGCTTCAGATCCTGGGTCTAGTGCTTAAGAGTTGTGTCACCTTATTCATTGGATTTCTCCAAGGCGGTAGCATGCTAAGTTCACGTAGAGGATAGACGGGGGACAAAGGAGGAGGAGCCACATGTTGGCAACAAGGAGGTACATGGTCTGTAGAAAACTTAAAACAATAATGAAAGCAAATAAAATCAGGCTGCTTTTTATTTTCCACATGCACTGGACATTTTTAAATAATGCTAGTAATAAGATACTCCCATGGATACCTCTCCCCTAAAACCTGGTCTGCCACTGAGCTCTGGTTTTTGTATCTGTAAAGCTGAGTAGAATAGAAATAAAAATACCTGTTTATAGGGTTGTTTTCACAATTTAGAAATAATATGTTTGAACCGTTTCTTGATTGCTATTCTTAAGTGAATTTTTAGTGAGACTGAATGGTTTGAATCCTGACTCCATCATCATAATCTTGATCAATTATTTAGTCTCTCTGTCTCAATTTTCTTTAATTAGAAAATGAGGATAAAAAGGTACCTACTTTATCCAGCTGCCTCACTGAGATAATATACACAAAGTGCTTTGCCACATAATAAGCCCTCAATAAAGAGTATTTATGGTTAATTAGCTATATTGCAATATATATTCAGATGTTCATTTACTAGTAATTCTTATTTTATAGCTCATAAATATTTGTTGAACACCTATGCCTCTAACTAGTGTCATTTACTTCCCAATCCAAGTAAGTATATTTGGTACCTAGCCTATAAAGATGTCAAAAGAGTGAACTTTCTAGGTCTTCCTTGGCAATAGATTCCTTCTCTACTCTAAACATTTCTTGTTTTTATCCCTTTCCTCATCGCATATCATATCTATGCTGGAAATAGACGGGACTTCATTGTCAACATTTTAGTCAACGCTTAACGGCTGGCCTCCGGTTACCTGAAATACAGTGAGACAGATCATTTTTCTAAAGCGGAATCTCAGGAAAGAAAGTTGGAAGACAGTACCCCAATAGCTGCACAGTTTTTGTTCAACATACAATAGTGATGTCTGAATTCCAAAATCATTTGATCTTACCCTAGTCATATCAGTTGTCATAGCTAACATTAACATTCGTGGTATAACAAGCTCTATGCTGAGAATTTGTTGTGTATCATCTCCTTTAATTCTCATTACTACTTCTTTAGGTCAATTCTATTACTGTCCCTGTTCTGCAGGTGAGAAAACTAAGGCCCAAGAAGGAGAATAGTTATCCAATAAGTAGAGATGGTAAGCCGTAGCCTCAAACCCTGGTTTCTGTCTCTGTGGCCCCCATTCTTAAAGTAAGGCCACCACTGGCAGTATGAGCGTGCACACACATCACTTCCTTGCAGCCTGTATTGTCTGTGGGACTTGGAGTGTTCACATGTTAAGCAGCCATCTTTGTGGGTCTAGAGACACAAGGTCCATCTGAGTTAATTCTGTAGATGGAATGCGCTGGGAAATTTCTAGTGCTCATAAGCTAGAGCTTTATGTTTTATATAGAATTCAGACCCCCACACATACATACCCCTGATTAAGATTATGTGTCTAGTTGTAGGCTCACCAGCTTTGCCGGGCAGTTTTGTAGTCTTCTCCCCACTAGGAAGAGCTGAATCCCATCATCTATATCCTTGAAACATTGGGACATCAACCAGGACTGTGGGAGACCTTATGTTTGTTCTCCTTAGCTGGATTTGGTCCTGTGCAGTTCAGCCCAAGCCACTCTGTGGGAGAATGCTGTCTGATCCGTGCTTCCGTTGGAACCCTTTCTGGCTGGTGTGATGCTCTTGTACTTTTCCACCTCTACCCACACAAGCCCTCGGTCTTCCCGTGAATACCCCTTTCTTGGTGGATCTATTTGTAGGCACTCCTTTTCCGTCTAGCTCATTATCACAGTGGCCATTAAAAGTACAACTGGCTTCTTAATTCTTAGCTGCTCTAATCATCAAGGCAATTATGGCTAATTCATAGCAGCTCTTTGTTGTTATATTATTATTATTATTATTATTCATTTATTCAGTTTCATTTATAATGTAATCACAGCGTATGCCAGGACATCCCAGACCTGCAAGAGGTGAGGGTACACCATGTAGTGCGGCACAATCAGTATAGCTCTGGTCTC